AGGAAGGAAGGAAGGAAGGAAGGAAGGAAGGAAGGAAGGAAGGAAGGAAGGAAGGAAGGAAGGAAGGAAGGTTAGTTCTCAGGAGGGAACAGGGAACAGGCCAGGCATCCTGGGGAGTTTCTCTAGGTCCTCTAGAGCAGAGAACTGTCTGAAGGGATCCAGGAGTTATAGCAGCAGCCCAGAGTGAGCTTTCCAACTCAGGTAGCTCCCACAGCGCAAAGCTAAAGGACACCCTTGCCTTCTTTGGGGCGTATGTCCCCTCCTTAGAGAAGACAGCACTCTGCTCCACATGCTGGGAACAGTGTCGAGGCTCTGGGGGTAAGGAAAGCACGAGACTTAGAGGCCGTTCTCAGAGGAGCAGTCTTACAGACAACCTTAAGTTTGGGTCTTCTCATTCACTAGTGGAACCCCAGGCCCCACCAACACCTCTGCACCCCACACTCAGCAACAGACAATCCTCCTTGGTTTCTAGGCTCCCAGTGACAAAGAATAACTTAGGTCATTCTGCCTTCCCTCCATTCATACCCTGCCCTCCCTTCCAGGCCAGCTCTGCAGCCCTGTGACCTGCTGGCCTGGAATGCACAGGAGCTACACACAAGCACAGGTGCCCAGAGTCACCACGGATAGCAGAGCCCCAGGAAGGCTCCCTTCTCTGCTGATCACCTGAGTCTGAGGTCATCGTCTTCGCCTCCCCATCCCCAGTAGTTGTTAGAGAATCCATTCACCTTGAAAAATTGTTCTCTGCTGAGGGCAGTAACACCCCCAAAATATTTACTGTAGCGTAACCTGCAGCAAAAGAGGAAGAGAGAAAGGTGGTGACATTTAGCACAAGAGCCCTCTGTTCCCACAGACACTCCAGCACTCCCCGGCTCTGGGAATGTACTCCAGAAACACCTGAGGATACACATCCACCCATCCCATTCATTTAGTCTTTTCTCATGTCTACCTCCCTGTTCTCCGGGCATGCAATCTTCTATTGATATCACTAAGTGATATTGATATCACCACTAAGCAAGGTGACCCCCACATCCCTGATACTGATAACACTGGTATTCAGAGACCTGTCAGTGAGAGATTTCATCCCAAATGCCAATCCAACAAATGGTAGCAGCTGCTAAGGGAAACAGGTGGAGGATTCCGGGTTGCATCCGTGTTCAACATGAATTAGTGTCATGACAAATTTTTTTCACGTCTTTCTCTCTTGGGAGTGAAGCAGTGTGGATCAGGAGACAGACAGTTCCAGGCCATGCTGCAAGCGTGCTCACTCTGCAAATCTCCATCTTGGAGTGTTTCCTACAGAAGTCAACCCCCACCCACTGCCCTGAACTGTCTGCTTGGGCAACTGTACGGAATTCAGTGCCTTTGATGAAAAGTGAGTGTGAAGAAAGTAATTTGGTTCTGAGGACAAGACGATGAATTATTCTGAGAGTGAATCTGAGATGCTCCTGGGCCTTTGGCCAACAGGCAAAGGACGCAGACACAGGGTCCAAGCGCACAAGACACCTGTGGCTACAGATAACTCGGCAGTTGTGAGCACTTGAAGCTCCCAGAGTAGCAGAAATCACAGAAAACAAGAGCGAACAGGAAGACCTGAGCATGCGTGGAACTGCGGTTAAGACTGACGGGGAGAGCGGTAGCTAAAAGCCCAGGGGAAGGATGAGAGATACACCACGAATCCTCCAGGACACAAGGACTTTTCTGCATTCCGGTGACCTCAACAAGCTGAAAGGAGGCTACCCCTCCACTGCACGACCATGGGACCACATGGAGGATTTCTAACCTCAGCCAACTTCAGTTCTAAATGTCTGGGGCCAACTGCATATTGATGTCTCCCAGACAAGAAGAGAAACCAAATCCACTGTAGACATTTCCCACCTAACAAGCGGCATCCCCAAGGCTTCTCTGAGGCTGAGGAGTTTCTACACTCCTAGTGCAAACCCTAGGCATGCCATCATAGACACAGATTATAATCAGGGCAAATGTCTGCGGGGAATTTTTATTCTGTCTCCTAGCTCCAATCCGTGGCCAGCTGCCTCCATTGAGAATTTCATGATGGGAAAGGTATGGCCAGTGGAGAAGGCACTCACTTCATGACAGTCAAGGTACAAAGATGAGGAAGGGGAGCAGGATAAAATCCACCCCCAAGAACACACTTCAAGTGACCTACTTCCTCCGAGTAGACCCCACCTCTGAAAATATCCATCTCTTTCCACTAATGCTATCAGATCACAAACCCATCAGTTAAACCACTGATTAGCTCAGAGTCCTTAGGTTCTAACTGTCTCTAGAGAGGCCCTTATATGCACCCCTGAGGTACACCCAACTAACTCATTGGCTCTTCTCAGTCTAATCAAGTTGACAACCAAGACTGACTATCACAATTACATTCGTGCATCTAAAATTCTGGGAAATTCAAACTTAAAGCCAATAAAAAGAAATAAAATATTTAGAACACAGCAATTACAATCATTTACTAGCATTGACTTATGTCCAAGGTTACCAAACTCTAGTTAATAGGGAAGGGGGCTCTTTACTACCAAAATCAGCAGCTACATCTGGACCCTGTAGATAAAAATATCAGCCCCAGGGACTAGAGAGAAGGCTCAGTGGTTAAGAGCACTGGTTGATCTTCCAGAGGACCTGGGTTAAATTTCCACCATCCACATGACAGCTCACAGCTGCCTGTAACTCCAGTTCCAAGGGATCCAACACCCTCACACAGATGTACATGCGGGCAAAACACCAATACACATTAGGCAAATAAATAAATAAATTTAAAAAAAGAATAAGAAATATCAGTTCCACATAACCTTTCATGCACCAAAGAGCAGTCTCCATGAGAGACCCAGCATGCAGGCTCTGGAGGGGACTGGCAATACCACCATCATGATGGCCGAGGGCACAGTGCCAGCAAGGCCATTCCCTCCTAGAGTTCAGAACCGAACAATGCCAGGGTTCTTAGTAAGGAATCACTGCCACAGCAAGGAGCAGAGCCTGGAAGGTCCCAGATCTGCAGAAAGGGGGAGGATCTGGTGGTGAGAATCTGGTGAGGACGAGCTAAGGAGCACGGAGACCAGAGCTCCTGGGACCAGCTGTGCTGTGGAGGAGCAGCGGGTGCATCCAGAGAAAACTACAGAACTGTTCTCAGCACTGCTGTCCAGCAGACGGCTCTGCGTTTCCTGACTTTTGCATTTGGTCCTTTTTCTGGAAAAGGATATATTTTAACAGGCCCTCAGGTGAGTTTACACATGGGTTTTAAAGGGCTGTTAGGTCCCCAGAAGGAGGAAAATGTCAAACAGTTACAGTGGAGTCCTTGGAGAAAGGGGGCAGGTTCAGGGGAATTCTTGGCAGTAAAATTCACCATAAGGCTGAAATACTTGGGTAAGTTCCTTTAACTTCATCACGCCCAGTGTGTGGCAAGTGAAAACATTTCTTGTTGTTTGCTTCGTTTTCACCGTCCAGGCCGTTGATTCCCTCTTGTACACTAAGCCATGAATCCATGTGGAATGGGCTCCGCAGCTCAGGTCCTTCCCGTCCTTCCTCACAAAGCATGAGGCTCTGGGTGGAGCAGGCTGGTGCTGCAGCTGAACCCAGGTGCCCTTCTCTTTTGCTTCCGTTTCTATCCTTCCCCTTCCCCTGCTTCAGGAAGCTGTCTAATCTCTGGGAAAGCTTGATGTGCTCAATCCACACATTAATTCTCTCGGCAAGAATCTTGCCCTTAACTTGCCTGCTTGCAATGATGCCCACAGCATCCCGGGTCATGTTGTAGACTCTTCCAGTTTTGCCATGATAACACTTAAAGGGCATTTGTTTTTTAACAGTTTCTGTTCCCTTGATGTCTACAATATCATCCTTCTTGTAGACTCGCTTGTATGTGGTCAAAGGAACAACTCCATGTTTCCTAAAAGTCCTGGAAAGCATATAGCTGGTGTCCTTCTGCTTTCCCTTGTGTTTGCCATTTTGGCGAGGTATTGGAAGATGTCTGCCAGGGTCAAAAGGGGCCAGGGAAGAAGCCTGAGCTGACTGATGCTCCATGGCACAGTGATACAGACTGAGTGCCTGTAACTGAACTCACCAGCCGCCAGCAGAATTTTTGCCCAAGATAGCAAAGTTAGGGAGAGAGAAGTCCTACTTTTTCCAGCCCCCCCCCCAAACAAAAGGCATCTGTATGATGAAATGATGAATACAAGAAGACACAAAAAATTAAAGCAATAAAATTTACTTAAGAATGTATACTCTAGGGGGCTGGAGAGATGCCTCAGCGGTTAAGAGCATTGCCTGCTCTTCCAAAGGTCCTGAGCTCAATTCCTAGCAATCACATGGTGGCTCACAACCATTTGTAATGAGGTCTGGTGTCTTCTTCTGGCCTGCAGGCATACATGCAGACAGAATATTGTATACATGATAAATAAATAAATAAATAAATATTTTTTAAAAAGAATGTAAACTCTAAGTCTGAACAGATGAAGCAAGGACACACAGGGTAAGTGTAACTCAGTGGTGGAGAACTTGCATACTGCAAGGGCCTTCTGTTTAACTCCATCAGCATGTGTGCACACATGCACACACACACACACACACACACACACTCTGGTCGTCACACAAGACAATTTTCAGTTTCTAAAAGAGGATCACAGTTTTCCTCGGAGCTTGTATTTACATCAAAAGGTAAGCATATTCAATTAAGTAAGGGAGACAAAGGCTCGTGGGTGGTGTCTGGGAACAGCAGCAAAGGCTGGTCAATTGTAAGGATAAGTTAAGCTGCAGGATCCAGGCATAGCCTGTCTCTTAGCGTGCACAGCATTGGATGGAATCCATATTGGTGACACCAAAGTGTAAGTCAAAATCAATTCCCAGCAGGAATGGATAATGATCTCTGCCCACCGATAGCAGGTTAACACAATCATACAATCAGTCCAGGCCTGTCCTTAAAATTTCTCAGAAGGAATGGGAAGCTTAAGGCTCGGAGTTAAAGAGTCGATCCCAATTGGGCGTATGGATTGTTAACACTTGTGCGTGTAAAGAGGGAGCAGAGAACACCACTGGACCCTTGCCTCTGTTTCCAGTTACTCCTCCAGCCACATGTAGGAAATGCCCTAACTGCATACGACCTTGAGGTCTGGGGAGGTGCTGAGGTACATAGCTAGGGGAGGTAAACCTAATGGACCACCATCTATGTGGGCACAGGGAAGCTGCCCCCAATGATTGGTGCAGACCTTCCAGAGAGGCTGCTTTAGTCACACATCCTCCCTCCAGCAGCTCCTCACCCATGCTCTATAAAAAAGCCTAATAAACAGTTGCTCCTTGGGGTAAACTTTGGTGGGATCAACTTTGCTTCATCACAAGGACCTCTATTGTAAGAGGCCGCTTGTTGGTTCCCAGCTGCTCAGCAGTTCAGACCCGAAATAATCACACAGAAACTGTATTATTTAAATCACTGCTTGGCCCATCAGCTCTAGCTTCTTATTGGCTAACTCTTACATCTTAATTTAACCCATTTCTAGTAATCTGTATATCATTCACGAGGTTGTGGCTTACCAGGTAAAGTTCTGGCATCTGACTCCATCTCCCTTCTCCCAGCATTCAGTTTAGTTTCCCCCACACACCTAAGTTTTGCCCTATCAACAGGCCAAGACAGTTTCTTTATTCACCAATGGTATGCACAGCATACAGAGGGAAATCCCACATCAGACCTAGTAAGCAGGAGGCAGATATGAGTTACACTCCTACCCTGACAGGCATTCTCATGAGTAGTAGTCCAAAATAAGAGACCTATACTGCAGAAGCAATGAGGAAGATATCAAGAGACTCACTTTCCCTTAGCACTCTATATGCTCTGGCAGAGTCTCCCCCACTCTGCCTACCTCACAGTTTAGTTTAGTTTCATACTTACTTCCTCCCTCTCCCTCCCAACTTAAGTGCTTACAGCTTTGTTTGCAGATTAATGCATCTCCATAGGTGCTTCCGGTCTCAGTAGATCAGTACTCACGCTGCCTCTTTAACCCGACTTCTTGGCCCCTAGCCTAGTGTCATAACGACACACATGAATGAATGGCAGAACGTGGAGGAAGGTACAGGGAAGTGCACATGCCACCAGTTTAATTTGCCAGAAGTTATCTCAATCCCTATTTCCCTTTGGTTATATTTGACTAGGAGCGGGTATAAAATGCAATTAAAACCATTTGTTCCTCTCCTGGGGACAGAAATAGAGAGGAATGAAGGACTGGAGGCATTTTTCCATGGTGGCTTTGAAAGAAAAGGGTTTGTCCTGCACATCCTGGTTCCAAGAAGACTATTAAGGTGCACCCCACCTTTCCCTAGAACTCTGGCAAGCTATCCAAAAAAAAAAAAAAAAAAAAAAAAGATAATACGTCATGCCACAGGTCCTGCAGGGTGAGGACCTTTGCTATGCTTAGATTACATTCTGCTCTCCTTTGTCTTTGTCTTTGTGCTTCTTGCCAAGGTTGTGGGAGGTCTTTTTTCTTCCTTATTTCATCCTTCCATTGCTGTTCAGCACATTAAGGGAAAATGGGTCGTCTCCCCCACTTCCTGCCCCCTCCCCCGCTTTCCTCACTCACTCTGGACACATAACAGCCTTGATCACAGTGGAGCACCCTGCACAGCCAGAGCTGCCTTACCTGTAGCCAGTGCTGTTCCTGCCAACCACCAGGTGCTTGGGCTGGTCGCCACACATGTAAAGGTTGAAGTCGTTCTCAGGCACCAAATCCACGTCGTGGAATATGAAGCAGTCCCAGTTTTCCTCCTTGAGAGCCTCCAGATAGCCCACATTCAGGAGCTTGGCTCGATTAAACTTCTTACTTCCAGTCTATTGAGGGTGGAGAGAAAAAATGAAAATGCTCCAGAGATAAGATCTCCAACATTCTCCCCTTTACACCCATTTCAGAGTGGTACATTACCCTTGCTCCTTCACAAGACAACACACACTAAGATCTAACAGATGCACTGATAACAGAAAACAGTTTTGGTTTTGTGTTTCACACATATTTATATTCCGTAATTTAAAAGCATCCCCTTGACTCTGGCAAGGTGAAAATGGAGAATAGTTTGCTTAGAAAGACTAAAGCATTAAGTAGGTAGGTTACGTGGCAGTATATTTTCTTTGTTTTTGTTTTTGAAATATTCCTCCTTCTGTAGATTAAACTGGCCTGGAACTCACAGCAATCCTCATGCCTCAGAATCCCAAATGCTGAGATAACAGCATGAACCATCATACCAGATCATGCTGGTATGATTTTTTTTAAATCTTCGTTTTTAAAAAAAAAATTATTTTATTTCATTGTGTGTATGTGTGTGTAAGTGTGTGTGTGTAAGTGTGTTGTGTCTACCCATGTGAGAATATGCCACATGAATACAATAAGTGCCTGTTAAGGTCCAAAGACGTCAGGTCTCCTAGAGCCGAAGTTAAAGCAGTTGCAAGGAGCCAGACTGGTCCTCTGCCAGAGCATGATGAGCTCCCCACTGCTGAATTATCTTCCCACACCCCACCCCACACACTTAATACTACAGTTCAGCGCACTTAGACAGTAACATGACGGTTTTAAAAAAACGGAAAAAAAAACGCTGAGATGATACATTTTATGTGGTATTTTAGCACAAAAATTAATGTAGTTTAAAAACACAAATAAAAATAAAGCAACACTAATTGGGCCCTCAAATGTAATAAGAGGCTAGAGCCCATGTCAAGTGTTCCAAATACAATCTCTAAAGAGTCTTTACTAATTCCATATAAAACTACAAAACCTCTTGAAGGAACCTGCCACATCAAATAGTGTCACGGCTTCCCTGTCAGCTCCCAGCTAACCTTGCTCACTGACACTGAACTTCCAAGAGACGAGGCTAAGAGCTTGCCAACAGGGATCACAAAACTGTGACCTAACAGCAGAGAAGGTTGCTGCTAATACTTTAAGCTACTTAAAACTCTCTTGGAAATGACTTAAGAAAAACTCTCGTTACAACACCAATGGCAGAGGCTGTTCCTCAGGGGCCTTGCAGAGGGACCTAAGGAAACTCGACCTGTAGTGTCATCAATACTTAACATGCAACATGACCTGCGGACTTTTCAATATTGCTGTGTGCAACGCAAACTGAATTCTGTAAGAATAAAGTCTGATTTGACAGCTTATCGTAACGAGGTTACAAGCAATTCTTAGATATTACCACAACACTTTCCTGAAAGAGTAACAGAGTGAAGAGTTTCTCTTTATACGAGTGATACGGGACCTAGCCAGGGGTGGTGGCACAGGCTTATGATCTCAGTACTTAGAGGCAGAGCAGAGGCCAGAGGATCGAGGTTTCATCAGGCTAGCCTGGCCAATCTTGGGGAGGGGGAGTGATGAGGTAGGAGAAGGCACAGGAAGAGGACAGGAGAATAAAAGGAAGCTTGGGTGACTGCCACATATGCCTAACAACCTGAGTTCAATCTGCAGAACTCACATAAAAAGCCAGATGATTCTGTAACCAGGCTTCCAGTGGAAGGATTGGGACACCAACCAGCCACAAAACCTTCAACCTACAATTGGTCCTGCCTGCAAGATGTGCTGGGGTGCAGGTGGTGCAGAACCTGTGGGAGTGGTCAGCCAATGACTAACCCAACTAAAGAAAAGAAAAGTCATGTGAGGTCCAAACTCCTGCAACCCCAGCTCCTGCAACAAGGCAGAAGGCAGGAACAGAATGGCCTGGAAGCTCTCAGGGAAGCTGTTACCCTGGAGTGTCAACAGCAGAAGCAGTAAGAGAGACCATGACTCCACGAGGTGGAAGAAGACAACTTGTGTTGCCATGCACAAGCACACACACACACACACAGTAACTTTTGAAAACAAACTAAAAATAGTACCCTATTTTGATAGCTACCCATCCTGTGTAGGAACTCAGACTCAATAAATCATTGTTTTGACCAATGACGTTAAAAACAAAATTAATTCCAAAGCAAAATGAGTGGGCTGGAGATTTAACTCAGTTGGTAGAATGCTTGTCAGTATCCATAAGTCCTTGAGTTCAATCTCTAGCACCAGAGGAACCAGGTATGGTGATGCCTGCCTACAGTCCCAGTATTTGGGAAGCAGAGGCAGGAAGATGAGAAATTGAAGATCAGTCATCCTTGGCTGTGTTTCAGGCAAGTCTGAGAGACATAAGTCCCTATTCAGAGAACAAACCACAAACAAGGAGCTGCAGGAGCTACAGCGATGGCTCCACGGTTAAGAACAATTGGTGCTTTGCAGAGGATAATGGGTTTGACTCCCAGCACGCACCTGACAGCTCACAGCCATCTGTAATTCCAGTTCCAGAGACCCAACATCCTCCAACACCCTCTTCTGACCTTGGTGGGTACCAGTCATGCACATGATATACTTACATACAAGTAGGCAAACACTCATATACATAAAATAAAAATAAATCTTAAAAATAAACTCTAAAGTTTTATTTCAAGTCTGAAAAACCAGACACAAATGTACTAGATAAGCCCCTGGTTATCAAGTCTCTCAAAGCATACGGAGAATCCATGAGCTGTCAATTCTACCTAAAATTGGTATTATCAACTACATCCAATATTAAGTAAGCAGTTAATGATTTTTGTCCACACTCTTATGAGTTTAAGAGGATCTAAAGGGGCATTATTTTAATGACTCAGGATGATAGCAAAAAGACTAGACACAGATGTCTAAACTGATGCTCTATTTTTCCTTTACTAAACTTCAACACCAAATAGAGGCACCTTTAGTCACCCACCACTGACTGACTGACCTTAGAGCCGAACTCTTCCGAGTCAGCCTACGGTTAGTTACGTGCCGTTCCTACTAACGGCTCCTGGAAGTCAAATGAGTAAGTCAAAAAAATAAAAAGTAAACCTCACCTGTTTGACATGATAAATGGTGGTAGAGTTAAAGGCCGGAGCGATTAGAAAGTCACAGAACTGGCCGGCTGGGCCACTTGGCACTCCGCGACATCACTCATGCGATCTCTCCTGCACAGTCACACTCCGGAACAACAGGCAGAAGCCC